GTTTGCAAACACACAAACAATATAGAGATGTACAAAAAGATTGCTACAATTGTTTTATAGCAATCCTGGAACTAGTCAGGCGGTTAAAACCGGTTGTGATTATATTAAATTCTAGTTATAGTCTTCAGTTTTATATTGATTCGGATCATCAATTTTTTTTAAAAAAATAGTCAAGCTATAAAACCAGTTTTTATCGATAAGAATAAAAGTACACACCCAAAATTAAAAATCTTATGGGATATTTAAATAAAATATGTATGATATTAAACAAAATATACAAAATAAAGTGTGTACCATAAGGTTGTTGATGAGTCAAAATTAGAGAAGAAGATAAATATATGTGGAAGGGTGATTAGGAAAGCTCACCATACTCCGATTTGTTTTCCAAGTTTCTTCCATCCTATCTATTTCTGTTTTACTTACCATTCACGAATTATGGAAATTATTTGCTAAAGGTAATATATGTCTTTTTTTGTAATGTGTGATGTTCATAATTGTTTCCATGCGTATTCAAATTTGATTTTTACACCTACTCAACAACACATATTGGAAAATAAAACATAAATTAAAGTTCTCTTTCCTATAACTTTAAGTTTCCTAATTACAGCAACATTAAGAAACAATTCTCCATTCACGAATGAAATAACTTTGCAAGATCCATTTATGAATTGGTTTCGTAGCGGAATGGTTTTGTGTCAACCATACTAGTGTTTTTAATACGTTTACAAGAAAAATATAATTTTAACAATTCTTTCTAGAGTTAACATATCTAGCTTTATGTGTAACCTAACCTTTTTGAATATGTATCTTCCTTATATAAGATTTTTGTACCATTTGTAAGATTTTTGTCTTGATTAATACAAAAAGGTGGACGACAACGTCATCGATCGTACTTGCAGATAATACACTATTTAAGATCTTAAACTTATAAGTTTGTTACCAACATCTTTTTTCATTGCCGTACCATCGGATTAATAGTTTACAGCTTCATCGATCGGATTCTCAAGTTTGGATCGTTCTGCATGATTTCGCAATAGTTTGCCATCACTATGAGAGTTGAGAAATTTCAAAAAATGCCATTTTTCAAGTGCCACTTTACAAAAATATCATTTTTTTACAATTTTTACAAAAATACTACTTTTTCAAAATTATTTATTTATTGTATCATTTATGTTTGGGTTAACTATGTTGTATTAGGGTTTAGTTTTGTGGGTCTAAGGGGTTTTAGGAGTCAAAATTTTTTTTAGGATTTAGAATTTTAAGATTTAGGTTCTAAAAAATCATAATTACTGGCATTTTTGCAAATAAACATCAAAAATAGTATTTTTGCAAATGTGGACACAAAATGTGATATTTTTGTAAATGTCCCGTATGAGTTTCGATTGGAGATAACTAGGAGAACAAAATAGTCTACAATATTTAATCGGCAAAATACGCATTTTGTTTGCTTAACTATCTCTAATAAATTTATTTTTGAGTTTATCGGCAACACGTTTATTTATTAACTATTGATTTGTAAATCTGATAAAATTTTCAAAGTAAAAAGGTAGCGTGGTTTTTGAAATTCGTGAAATAAAGTGTTATTTGTGTAAAGACATTTTGATGTCCAAATCAGTTAAGAAATTCAGATAAGTGGAGAGATCTCAAATATTTGGAAGTTTTCATTAGATGTTGGTATTATGGTATATATAGATTTACATATATAGGGTCTTTCGCAACAACGACAAAAACCCCGTTATAATGTATTTTTTTAAGATAAACCTTTAAAGTTAAAAAAATACGGGTCAATAAAACAACCCTTGCATTTAACAAAAATATTATATAGAGTTCAGCTGGAAATAAAACACTTCTCTTTGAGTTGAGCAAATTGCTTAACGCCACATGTCTTTTGGATTATGCGAGTCTCTTGTCACCATTTGTGTAGTTAGTCTACTGGACCCTTTAAAGGTTCAAAAGGATTGCAATACGTCTTTCGAAGTATTCGAGAATGCAAGGTTGGTTCTTTCCTTCTCCTTGATATACGCATCATCGTTGGAATTCTCTTATTTTCTATCGATTTTCCTTTCTTATCTCGCTCCTCTCCCCCTTTTGTATTTTCTTGATATTTGTAAGTCAAGCATTGGGTGGAGTTTTGGATCATATTGACCTAGTTGACATGTCCAAATTCAGGTCATGTCTTGTATCTTAAATGTGCGTCGAAGAATTTTTTAAAAGTTTTTCCAATAGTTTCGTGGCGCAATAGCTGCTATAGTAGACGACATGACATGTGAGCTAGTTTGTTTAGGGTCAAAGTACACAAGTATTGACACTATAATTGTGTGTCGTAGGGATCAATGTTATGAAAACTAAAGCTTTTGTCAAAATTAGTAATGAGATGGTCCGGACTAGTATATAATACCGTTGGAAAACTGAACTTTTTCCTGGAAGGTTGGAGACTTTGTCATTTTAGTTACTAACTCATCTGTAGTGTGGGTTTATCAATGTATCACTCGATCATTGAATGGTGCAAAATCATCTCAATACCATTTAAGAAACCACTGGAATAAGGGGGTTTCAGGGTTAAAATTAGATTAAAACCAAAAAGAAATTAAATTAGATGAGGTCTAAAAAAGATTAAATACACAGGAGTGTTTAGGGTTAAACTAAAATGATGAAATAGAGAACATGTATTATGAATGACGGCGTAACCACGACATTGATATAACACACCAGGCGGTGCCGCAACAAGAACACCGCATAGTTACTTACTACTACTACACAAATATACAACAGCCTGTCTTTTCCTTCCTTTTATATTGTCACTCTCTCAAAAAAAACTTTCTTTAAATACCCTCTCTTCTTCCTCCTCCTCTGCACTCTCCATCTTCTAACTAAGACTTCATTTACCATTATTTGCTAAGGTCAG